TCAAGCGGCTTCAATTCTTTTTGCCGTTAACCAAGCATAAGCTTGGTATTGATCAAGTTTATGCTTGCTCAGTCTTTACTACTTCCTCTTCTCGACTATGCCGATGCTACTGAGGAGCTGCTTAACAAACTGGAGCGCCTACAAAATCTGGCAATCCGTTTCATATTCAGTTTACGTAAATATGACCGTGTCTCTGAATTTCGGACTAAGTTGAAATGGCACCAATCGGACTTCGACGAGATACGCACGTTTTTTGTCTCCTTTTCAAAATTCTGCATTACCCCCAGCTTCCTCGTTATCTATGTTCCCGTTTTCTCCCTTATCCCCCAGTTCCCGCCCAAAACGTACCTGTACACTAGATCACTAATAAATCCCCAATCCAACTCGAAATTCTTCCACAACTCTTTCACGGTAAGTGCAACTCGTATGTGGAATAAACTGCCTGCTGGCATTCGTGACAGTCCATCGGTGGCATCTTTCAAACACAAATTAAAAGAGCACTTCCTGTCGAACGCGTTACTTACGCGTATACTTGTGTACGGACAACGGCACATCAGACTACATATTTTTGTTCGAAAATCGCCTCTATTGCAACGGAACAAGATACGTCAATGTGTAGCTTGATGTGCTGGCGTGTGTACATTGCTTGACACTATTATACAATATTATATTATACAATATACTAAATATGGGGCAAGTGTTGTAGGCATATTTACTTTAAACATTTTTAATTTACTTTTACGGTGATATGTGTCTAAATGTTTTCGTCGTCAGCAGCAATAGATATAAACTCAGGGTTTATTTATGAATGCCATCAAGCACGCTTGGAGTTATGTATACGCAATCACGTAACTCTACAGTGATTAAAGGACACAGCAGCTTACATGACAATGACGCAGCAGTTGCTAGCCAGAAAAGGGTCGGAGACGGACGCTGTAAGACCAGAGCCCATAGGGTCCCCTATCAATTTTGAAGACCAACCATATACGGACAATCTTTATAGTTTCTAGACAGGGTGGGGAAGCACTCTGAACGCTCAACGCTAGTCTATGTCGAAAATTAATCAAACTCAAAAGGCAAGAGCTTCGCACTCTAACTGCCGCCCTAAGATATATGTCCATACAATAAACACCTTTTCAATTTAGGTATCCCAGACAGCACTCTATGCAGAGCGTACATGGAGAGGGAGGAAACAGTCGCATACATCACGCGTGGCCAACTACAGGGCGAAGTACCTTATAGTTGTATGGCATGCTATACAATCGTTTTGTCGTTGGGGTGCACCACAGAACAGAAAATACAGTAGAAGTGGTTAGTTAGCCTAACTCGCGCGCCAACCGTAGGTCTTTTAGGACCTATGTGACCTCAGTCCGCCATTTTCGACAATTATTTGGCGTAAATTCTATAAAATCGTAGAAAAATGAATTATTGTGCTACTTTGGAGTACAAAAATGATAGCCGCACCAAAAATATTACCCGTGATGGTATTTCATATTCATATCATCGGTAAGTCATATTTTAATACATTTTCAATTTTCTGTTTAACGAAATATTTTTTTTGTTACAAGAAACGAAAGTAAATCTTATACCCCTGCAATATGGTCGTTTCTTTTTTGGGGAACTAAATTTATAACTCTACTTCGTCGTGGTTCACCAATTAACGGCTAGATGGCAGGACATTGATTGAAATTTCAATTTAATATCAAAACGTCGTAACTTGCAATAATAGGTATTGATGGTATTGAACTTTCAACGATATGCCAACAGGGTAAAGTTTAAATTATATTAACAATCCAGAATTTGTTATTACTTTTTAAATTGAAACTACGACCAATCAAGATTTCGTAGTGTTTCAAATTAAGAATGTGTGAGTTTTGGTGACATCGGTTCTGATAGTAACCGAAGCTTATGGCACTTCCATTGTTCTTTTTCTTCCGTGGGTTGCATGAAAGGGGCTTGTTCGTAAGACGTACCATATTCGTGACACGTCTGCACCCTGTACAATAGTCAGCGAGGGCCTTACGCCCCGATTGGCAAATATTTTCACAATTAAAAAAAACGCTGGCAAACTGAAAAATTCTGGTTTAAGTCTGCACCCTTCTCTTTACAATTATTATTTTTTGTATTAAGGATTTTGCATTTTTGACACTGTTTTGTGTTATATTTCTACTTATTTTTTATGTAATAAAAAAAAATAGTATAATAATAAAATGTTTTCAAAACAATGTAAGAATGTAATTTGAGCTAAAAATTTTAAGTTCACATTCAAAGTATTTTAAAAATGTTATTTGTAATCCTGTGTTTGAAAATTAGATTTTTGTCTTTCTAGACAAATCGATGAAATAGCTAATACTAGAGCTGCCTACGAAGTATCGTAAATGACATGCTCTCCACACTATCGTATAGTAATACTGTTTCTTTTGTTTTTACACTATAAGCCACTATAAATGGGCACGTGCGAAAAGTCATTTCACGTGGAAATAATCTTCTATTGTTTTCTTTAGTGTAACAAGGTTGAAGTTTGTCACTGTAATCTTTGACCGTAAAACCATGACTCAGTGAACTGAAATCACGATTCTTGTAACAATTCCTTGTGTGTTGTCTATTTATAGCTTACTTGAAGTTGGTAACTTGCCAGTTGTATTTGTATCGATAATAGAAACCACTTTTTCACTTATTCATACTTGTTCTACTGTTTTACGTAGCACAGGATATGGACATGACTCAGCAGCTAGCGAGTTGCTCGGTTTTTATAAAACAAGGTGTCCAAGACATCAGTCTATCATAAAGGTATCTTATAGAACATATAATTTATTTGATGTTATCATGTCCCAATATAACAATTTAAAACAAACTTTAAAAAAATACAACCAACTTCAAAAACCACTAAAAGTCACTACACTAAAAAGCGAAAAATAACAAAATAGATATTTAATCCAAACGACAACAATCCACGTAATTCTTTTTATTTATTTTTGTCTTAATTCGTTTTGTACACAGCATAGTTATAACTTATTAATCAATCTATCTATATTTATAATATATCTGCTGGATACAAGGCTCACCTTATGCATGTTAATTTTCTCGGTCCTATGCCGCACACATCCAGCCGCTCCTACTCACCTTTCTCAGGTAGTCTGTCCATCTTGCCACAGGGCGTCCTATACTACATTTGCTTATTAAGTCGCCACTCTAGAACAAGAGAGCTAAAAGAATATAAATAAACACGATATATTGTCCACATTGGGGTGCACAGCACGCAAGGAATCTCCTCGCACAATGTACCATTATACTTTTCAGTGCATCTGACGCACTCTAAACAATAATCGGCGGGAACTTATGGTTATTGGCAAATCCTTTTTCCACGATGGCAAACATTACAGTGTATGCCATTGGCTTGATATGAAGTACGGCGTCAATTCTTAAGAAAAATAATAAAATGACATTTTTTTTCCGAAAGAAATGCGTCTACACTGTAAAATTCATTACCTAATAAAAGTAGTTTTAGTTGGGCATTAGACATTTATTTTAGACAATTACAAGAGACGTCCGTCTCCTTGTCTTTACATTGGTTAATAGAATCTGGATCCTATTACTCGACACTTTTCCTTTGCAACTTAAGTACGATGGGCAACGGATTTTAGTTTTCCCGCGTTTCGCAATACTCGGCCTTCGCCTATACATCACTCGTGTTTACATTTTGACGTGCGTGTATATATATATAAACTGTAAGCCATATACTTACTTTGATAACTTTAGAAACACTTTGTGAAAGAACATCGCTGTATGACATTCAAACGCATCACGTGTGCTCGTCTTCTGGAAGATCCACATTACCAATACGTTCACACAACATTCAGTCTCCAGACCGCCTGCTATCGGTGGGGGTTCTAGCTTCTTTTCGATGTCCATAGTCAGTTTCATAAGTTACTTGATGTTTTCATTGTATATTCCTACTTGTAAAATTCAGTTATAATCCGGTTGTCGGTTGCATTGTATATTTTTATCAACAAGCGTTGTATTAATCCAATGCCACTAGGCTACAACTACTACTGTTATTCTTAGTTTTATGATTCTTTAATTTTGTTGTTAGTTTATGATTTTTAGTATTTGTTTTCGTCGCCTACGCTGTTTAAATTTGACCTTGTGAATTATATAATAATACTTGTGTGAAAAGATCGAACGCTAATGTCGAATTATGACTTATCACATATTTTTTAATGGCGGGATCTTATTGATTCTTTCAATGAACAATACGCCAACTTTTTTTTTGGTCATTTTCTTTTATTTTTGTAAACAGTCATATTTATTTACTAATATTATGCTCCCCGAATTTGTGCAAAGAAACAAAAAACAAAATTGGAAAAAACCAAATTTTGTGAAAAAAAAATACAAAATGAAAACAGAGCAGGTCCAAAATTAAGTTGGTGTAGTGTTCAGTGGAGGTATAGTTGTGTAATGCTGTTTTATGACAGTACATATATAAGCTTATAGTGAAAAATAGGGTGGTTTGGCATTAATATTAGACATAAGTGGTAGATGACTTTATCATCTTAGTTAGCCATGATCACAGGACCTGTAAAAGGCCCGAAACGTTGATTTGTTTGAAAAAATAAATATACGCGATTTATATCTAAAAAATAGTTCATTTCCATTGTGTACAAATCGCGAAAACCTAAGAACTCGATATTTATCATGTATACTAGTTATGCCTGTAGGTACGGACGGCAGCATATCATGCTACACATTGACGGATCTTGTTTCGTTGCTCTGGAGGCGGATATTGGAACAAAAATGTATAGTTTGATGTACTGTTGACCGTACCTTAATTCAAGTCGTTAATCTGTGAGCGAATGTGTTATGAATGAATGCAGACACAAAATAAAATCAGATATAATTATTGATATATTTTATTTAAATATCTCTATAAATAATTACAATCTATTTAACAACACTCGTTCATTCTCATTTAATACTAAAAGGTCATTCACGACAGCAGAAGTTTTTACATACAGAGACCTTCACAAGATTTTCGTAGTTTTAAAATGGAGTGAAAATCTTATTCAATTTCCTTGTAAAACCAAGGAATAACAAATTATCTACTTGTTCCGAAACTCCATGAGATTTCGAATATCAGTCAAGTAACATTGAGTCACTAATTTAAATACTAACTGAAGTTATATGTGTCTGGGAGTTTATACTTCGTACACAGTGCCGAATCTGAATCCCGATGATTTTGGTTTTGAGAACAAATTTGTCGCAGTTTTGATAATGCTGATAAGTGGCCTAAAGGTTGAAGCTTCGGTTGTTTCCGTTTTGTAAAAGGTAGAAGGTTGCTGGTATTGGTATTGATACTGGTTTTCGTATTGGTTGTAATAATGATTGTTGAATTGGTAGTTGTAGTCGGTGTTGCTGTCGGGGATGACATTTGAGATGTAGCTGTTGTCAGATTGGTAGCTCGTGCTGGCCGTATAGCTGGCTGTAGCCGCTGTAAAGGTGATAGACAACCAATTAGTTAAATATTTTGTTATTGCACTGTGTCAGACCATGATACTAAATTTCAGAATTGTAAAAGATTTTCCACATAAAATATTGTTGAATAAACTGAGAGAGAACAATATTATGGCTGGTTTAGTCGGTTATGCGATCTGAGAACAAGTTAAACGTGATAATTAATGAAAATTATTAAAAATTACAAATCGGTACTTACAGCAAAGACCAGAATATTTTCTGGATTCGGAGAGGCCATAGTTGCTGCAAGAGGGATGACCCTTTTCGTAAGGGCTTGAACCGATCACATTTCCACCAGGCCCATAGTTGCAGACATACAGCTTTGTGTAGCCTCGAGAAGGATCGTAGTAGAAGGTGAATCCGCAACCGACATGGGACGTCTCACCCCAAATCAACTGCGTAATGTAAACAAATTCATAAATATAATGCTATTACTGCTTGGAAAAAGAAAAGTAAAGTAACAACAATATTACGTCTAAAAAGCTACGACGATTTTAGTACTATTGAACAAAACATGCAAAATGTGGCGTTAAAAATGGAAATGCTACGTGTAATTGTAAAGATTTTTACCTGAGAGTAGTGTCCAGTGCCATGTCCGCCAGAAATAGGCTTGAAGTAGTAGATGCGGACTTCATCGAACCAAGCGTTGATTTGCTTTATGAAGTCAGGTTCCGAATCTTCAGCCGAAGTTGGAGGACGAGTGGTCCAGGTGGCCGCCAAGTTCTGTCCTACTGGCCAGCGCCCGACTTCGCGTTGAGACGCCCTGTCGTGAGCCGGGGTGCATTGATCAGCCCAACGTTGAGCTGTAGCAGCTAATTCCTCGTCCCATACCTTTAAGGCAGAAAAAAACACTATTGTAAAACTATTCAAATAACTATTTGCAATCATCTTCATTATAATAATCCTTAAATAATACCTATAATAATCCTTAAATATATAATCCTTAATATACAAATGAAGATGATTGCATTGCTCATGAAAGTTACCTTGTGATTCCCTGAACTACTTTCTTTACCAAAAGAGGGACAGTAGACTTATACGACGTCCATGGCTCCATATGTTATGACCGGTTATTATTTAATAAATCATAGGCTTATTCAGTTGCTTAAGTAATATGGCATTGAAATTTAAAATTTACATAAATTTTAACTTCTACATCGTTTATTTAAAAACTGTGACTTTATATTATTCCATAGTTTAAAAGTTCACACTTTGCTACCTGATTAATTTGACTAATGTCACGACAAACTAATTTATCTTGCTTTGAAATTATTAAAACATGATGCAATAAATTTTACGGAAGGACGTAGCAATTAAGTTTATAATGAGACTGATTTAATATAGATCTTCGAACAGCATGTTGATGACTGTGTTAGTATAAAATACCGTGTTCCTTTTTTATGTGATTGCAAATACATTGGGAATTTCTGACAATGCATCGAACACAGACTCTTAAGTCTTAACAAAGTATAATTTTTCAGATAATTAATAAACAACTAAATTATTTTATTAAGTAGCTCCTTGGGAAAGAGTTCGTCCAGGGAGGTACTGCCACCCTATCTATTTCTGCCGCCAAGCAGTAATTCCAAATTCGTCTGCCGTTCCAGTTTTGAAGGTTAAGGGTCCTGGTGAAATGACAGGCATGGTACTTGTCAACCTATATCTCAGGGTGACGGGCGCAATGTCCCGCAGATCTTTGCGCATTAAAGTTCTGTAGCTGCTATGTATAGACGTGTCGCTTACTACCATGCCAACGACTCGTTTGTCCCGTGACTTGGTATCATAAAAAAAAACTTTTTTCACTGAGCAGGTATTACTTACCATTTCCAACATATTTGCTGCCGGAGGTTGACTGGAGACCTGTCCCAAGGCAACAGACTGTCTGAGACGATTGTGTGCATCCACGATAGCTTGTTTGTCATACGCTGTCAATCCTCCAGATCCTATAACAAAAAAAAAATCATTACATCTTGAAGATTTCAACTTTAATGTAAAAGTAATAAAATAGATGGATATAAATGGCCCTGTCAAGAGCCCTGTCAAGAGTATATTAGCATTTGTCTACGTGTGATTTCATAATCCATCGAATTTATCTGATTTATTACACTGGTGCGTGCTATACAGGTGTCTGTTAATAAAATTTTACGATCTTGCTACATAAGGGTATGCAAATGTTGTCATCAATTTAAGGTAAAACTTGTCCACAAAATCTAGACTGGTTGGCGGCGATCGAATTTATTGACATTATGAGTTGAAATTACTGTTTATCAAATCAATATTTGTATCCATTTTTCGGACAGATTTTCAAATCAATAAATTATTATTGTAGTTCGTCCTCTGTCGATGCCACCCGTGAATGTTATGAAGAAAGAAATATTGTATTTTACTTAAATACAATCTAGTAAAGTTTACATATTTTTTATACGGTCTTATATTGTTAAAATTTTAGAGCAACCTAGTGAATGAGCTTAAAAAGAATCCAACTTAAGCTTATTAATTTACGCTTATTAAAAGTTAATTAAATTTAAAAGAATTTAAAAATAAATAACCTAGTAAAGTTTTTGACTTAAGATTTTGTTGATATTTAAAAAATAGAGCAAAAAAATTTTTAAAAACAGTAAGGATCGCATAAACTTTGAATAAGTTGTAAAATATATGATTTATTAATTAGATACTGAATATTTTTGAAAAACTTACTCATCACAGTTTTTCCATAGCCGCGGCCTTCTGTTGCAGCCAGGAGTACTCCCAAAACAAACAACACTAAGGACATCATATTGTACTTTATGTTTTCACAGCACTTTAACTGAAATTAACACGATGAAGTTGAGATTCGTAACTAAAGTTATGTTCACTTATAATTTACGAAACGTCGAACTTGAGTTATTGCCGGTGATCCGTCACACTATGTGCGGCGCGCTCAACAGGCTTTAGCTATCTGTGCGCGAATTAACTTCGAGCACGCTTAAGTACCCGTGGCCGCGTTACCATGGAGACGGAGCGTCGCCGGCCGCCCGCTGCGTCTGCGCATCGCGCCCTACCGCACGCGACTTGCGACTCATGCACACCACACCATATAACACTCTTTTGCCCTATCAATTATAATATCACCCAAAATAAATTCCCCGACATCAATCTCAGCATATCGGCTATTCTCTTCCAGACAATTATTTATAACACCAATTCTGTCAATATTTACGACCGCATCAACAGTACTTCTAGAGGCATCGACCGTGTAGAGTCTTCAGTTACGAAACGAAGAAAGGTTCAAGGAACATCGACCGGCCACTTTTTATCTGTTGTAATAATTTAAAACTCATTATGCTGCACCCGGTGGTTGTCAATGAAATCCAGTTCTTGTGATGTGTCCCAGCCGAACGTGGAAATATGTTGACAGATATTGGTCGGGACGGAAGTGGTCTTTAAGTGAAATTATAGGCAGCTAAAAAACAAGGAAAGAATAAGTAATATGTAATCACCCTTTTTTGTGTCAAAGGTTTCTCAAGCTTTTGAAAAGGATAAGGTTAACATTGAAATATCTATGTGACATTTAAGTCTGTGGTGGTCGGTATCAGGAAATTTGTGGAGATGGTTTACTTGACACTTTGATGATATTAATCATGTCGTTAATCTTATTTTGATCGATGGTTTTGATTGAAATTCGATACATGCATTTTCTCCTTAAAAAAGGTGTATAATTAAGGCTGTCCATTTTCATTACGTTCATTATTTTTATTTAATAAATTAGCGTACGTATTAGCATCCAAACAAAGCTCGAAAAGTCAAATCGATTATTCCTTACGCTAATCGGTTGCTGATTGGTAAGTAAATATTTTAAGGACAAAGAATAATACGAATCATAATGTACTCTTAATAGGTAAGTAGGTAACTTAGAGATCCGTTTTATTTGCTCAATATTTCTATCATGGTCGACTGAAATGTGCAATGACGTTTGCCCTATATTTTTTATTTACTTATAAATTTATTAGCAAATAAAATTTGTTAACAAACCTCTATCAAGATCTTAAATTTTTGATAGACCTCGGTGAAATACACTCTGTAGGGCAGAATGGGAAATATTGTCATACAAGTGGATACAAACAACTTGTTTTAAAAACATCCTATAAAAATCCGAAGAAGGGCTCTGTGAAAAAGATTTTTTATATAATTGTAAAAGATTCTATACAGAGTTAACAAGAAATGTCAAACATAAAAACACAGTGTAAACAGTTGCCCAAATATACTGGAACTGGCATCAGACTAAAAAGAAAATACAGTCTTTTAACATAATTTTTGAACTGAATTACCAATGGAGCCTCCAAAGCAAAAGAAAAACGTTAATGATGATAAAATATTGACAAAACGATAGGTGACAACTAGATCGTTACTAAATCCGGTTTACCACCTGATGTGAAGATTTGCATATTGTTCATCATTTACATACTAATGACTTCATTTTATGGACTTTTATTTTGCATTATTATACCAATGGGAGATATCATCTTTGGTAACAAATTACTGAAAACAATTCGTATTGACGCTAAAATATAAGTATTAAAAAAAAATCTAATATTATATTTTTCCATTTGCAGTTGATAGTGTAAAACAATTTTAATTGTCATATTATTGATATAATTTCAGATTTCAGAAAACCATACCAATTCTGTAAGTGGTACTCCGCAGTATATTCAATATTCAGTTATTTTAAAAAAAATGCCTTTTTCTTTTAAGTACATTTGAAAAAAACTTATTTTGTCTAGTTCAGGCCAGTAACAATGACTTTATGAGTTTATAGAGTTTCAAATTTTAGACAGAACCATAATTACCTTGCAAAATTATGAAGGTACTAATAATGAAATCTAAATCTTAGTAATACGGTAATACAAGGTAGGGGACTGAATTTATACCAGGGCACTGTCTTACAAACACTTCCAGTGTGGACTGAGCAGTCTAGATTAGGCTAATCAAACGTCTTTATTTCTTTCCAGTAATAATATTTTGAAAAAGGATGAAATATGTATAATATCCATCCTCTTAATAAAAAAGAATTTAACCGGTTAATAAATATGATTAATAATTATTTAAAAAAAAAAAATTTTAATAATATCAACGGACTTGACGGGACGAACAAGTCGTGCGCCTGATGTTAAGCTACACGCCTGTCCATAACTGTTGCACCGTTACTGCGTCTGTTACCCTGAGACATAAGTTGGCAAGTCCCGTGTGTTTGTAATTTCACCAGCACCCTTACAGATAAGGTGGCAGTACTTCCTGGACGAACTCTTTCACAAGGAGCTATTGCTCCATTGCTGCTAATATCGTACTCGTATGAACACTAAATTTCGTATGTTATGTGCTTGTTATTGGGCACTTAGATGCTTCAACTTTCCACTTTAGTACTGACACGTTTTGTTCATAAGTCAAACTTTGTCAATTTTTACTTTGTAAAGTGTTGTAAGCATTGACTTACAATTATATGGACGTCGGGTCCGCGCTAAAAAGTGTCCGCACTTGTAAGGCGCTAAAATCGTATACAGAGCGCCAAACTCCGCTTTAGTCTTCATTTGTTCGACTGACAGCGCGATACTGCGATGACATTACAATTTCAATTTCGAATAGGTTGACTTGGGACATTTTTTTCGTGGTTTTTGTATTAGACCCGTCGTCCATTTATTTGTAAGTCAATGGTTGTAAGTTATTCTTTTTATTAGCGATCTACTTTACATTACGTCTTCAAAACTATAGCTACGATTACGATACGATTTACAGAAATCGTGGCTATAGTTTTCTACTACAGAGTAGAAGAACAATTTTGAACCTATTGCACCTTTTTGTTTTATATTTATACAGAACTTAAGGTTCTATTTAACATCCACCCATTTCTTTACCCTACTCACCTTCTGTATAAGTCGTTTAGGGTACTAACTGTAAGGCAATTTTATTAACTCCACAATCCTCAAGCAGCAGCACTCCCATATAGTAATAATAAAATAGTAGTAATAAATGTTAGTGTTTAACAAAAGATGGACAGACATTGTCTGCCCCAAAATTATATCATCATAACGTGTTTATTTCTACATTTTTTGTGTTTCTTGGACCATTATAAAAATAAATTCAACGATAAATTGGCCATAGATAATTTTTGTTACATAAAGGTTAAGGAAATTCTCCAAGACGTCCTTCAAAATAATTATGTCCTATGATGATACAGAGAATTTATTAATTATCCCAAAATAAATGTTGTATAATTTAAGCATATGGGTATATAATTTGCATTTTATTGTTTAATTAAACTGTTGTTTGTTATTTAATAACAACCAGTGTAATTAGTATATTTTACCTTAAATACGGGATTCTCCTAGTTCAGGTACAGGTTCAGGTATATTTTACATTGAGTCTTCAGTTATTTCTTTGTGCTATAAGTTGTTCAATAAACAATTTTATTATTTATTGTTATTTTATTATAATTTGCGTTTTTCGAAATTATTCGTTTATTTAATTTACACTTAATTACTAAAATCTGATTTAACGTCATGATAATCTAAAGTAAAATTTTACGATAATGTGAATCGGGCGTATCGTCTAAATTTTTTTATAGTGCTTTATTGTTTACGTGACCGTTATCGCAAATGTAAATTATTTTAATAAACAGGCACGTAAGGATCTTAATATTTCAACGCGGTAACAAATTATTTCCCTTATTTAGAAGAATAATAATGTTCGAGATTATGCTTAAGTGCACCGGTAAGTAAGAATAAGTACCAGCGATTTTATACAACGCTGTATTTGTATAATAACGCAATATTGCTCATTACGATTTTGAACTTCTTCTTCTTATCGTATGCGTGGAGTATAAATTGTTTATTTGGAGGTTGCTTTATTAGCGATAAAATTTTGGTAGCTGTTCATTCCTGTATGCTTATTTCAAAACCGTAGTATTCTGCAATACTGAGTTATTGTATAAAAAGCAGCGATACACCTTTTTTATTATTAACTTTTATTTGTATATTCTATAATATTCATAGAAATCACTAGCTCTGATAAAAACATTACAATGTTTCTTTCGTAATGTACCACAGAAACTCGTCTAATAATATGGATTTTCAAAATCGTTGTCTAATGACTATTTTATTAACATAAAAATCGATATTTGAGTTTACTTTATATTTAATAAATGAAGGCTTTCAAAGTGACAGTCTAGAGAAGCATTACATAGGTAGTAAGAAGGTAGTAAACTGCCTCAGTGGCCGGAAGGTTACCATTCCGTACTGTTCGATTCCCGGGCCAGGAGAAATATTTGTATGGCCTACATTTATTTCTCTCGTGAAATTGGGTGCAATTTGTGACTGTCTATGTGTGTGCTGGGCCATGTTGAGTGCGTACGTTACTATATTACTATTACAGTATATATTACAGTATATATTGGCAGATACCGAAATTTTCAATATTTTGGTTTGACGTCACCTTTTTCTTTCAAAAACATGCGAATTTATGTTTTTTTTATGACACCAAGTGACGGGACGAACGCCTGGTGGTAAGCGACACGCCTGTCCATAACAGTTGCAGTGCTGCTCAGAGCGTTATATCGCAAAGATATGAGAGGCACTGCCATTGCGCCGTCACCCTGAGACAGAAGTTGAACAGTCTCATGAGCCTGTATTTTCACCAGCACCCTTACCCTAGCTCACATGCTTGGCGGCAGAAATATGTAGGGTGGCAGTGCTTCCCTAGACGAACTCTTTCACAAGAAGTTCTACTGCTACTAAATTTATATGGTATAGATGAAGAAAAAAATTGCAAAGAAATCTGCAGCCAACTATGACCCTAACGTCCTCCGTTCGAGGACACAACATGTTAGCCACTAGTTTATAAATATGGAACTAGGAAATTTTAGATATTAATGTAACTTGACACTCAACCAATATTTCAAGTGTTGTCAAACAGATTATTAAGTAGACATCGTGGCGGGTGGTAAAATTATATCATTGTTTGTGTATATTATGTATGTGTCTACGTGAAAAATTAGCAATTCTAAACATCATCTCATTAAATTCATTGGTATAAAACCTTGACAGTGGAATTTCTTGACCTTGCACAATTTAATAGAAATTCTTTGAAGTTGTTGTATATAAATTTATAAAACTTGGTTGAAAGTAAAAGTAGAAAGTATTATTCACAGATTTCGACATAGTTTTCGCCATTTCCTCTTTGTTAACCAAGGGAGGTTTTAACGCCAACGACGTTACGGTCAAACAACTCGGACTTTCTAGAATTTCGAATTAAACATATCTTCTTTTAATCGTTGTCTAAATTCAAAGCTCGTTGATTCATTGTCAGCGTTAATTGTTTTCATTTCAAGAAGTCTACCGTAGATACGGATAACCGGCAACGTCGTTTACTATACTACTTTCCATGGTGTTGTCAAACTGTTGAACACTAGTATAAAAAGAAGGTAACGTAAAAAGAAACCACACTAATAATCTGGTCTGAAACTAGAGAATTCCCTGTACTATGAGGACCTAACAAAGCAAAGGAATTGACTCTTGAGCACTATCCAAAACGCACAGACCAGAACCAATTTTGATAAGTTCCTGGAAATTAAATTTCAATTTCAATTTTCAATTTCAAAATATTTAATTCAGATAGAAATCCATATTGGTTAGTAATACAAAAACAACTTACACACTAATGTTAGTACCTAATGATAATTACAGGGAAGAGTGTTTATTTGCAACATTCGTTTACAAATAAACACTCTTTTTTGGGTAAACATGAAGGCTGGTCCAGCGCTCAAACCCTGGACCCTGCCTGCAATGACGTTCAGGAGGCTGTTACCGCTGCCACGTAATCTGTGCGTTAAGGAGGCCACCCTTTTCCGTAAAATAGCGGGAAACCCATCTACCTGGGCCACGGCGAACATATCCGAAGCGCTACAGAATCGTGGCAGCCGCAACAGCATCCTGAATACATTATTATAAATAACTCGCAGGGAGCCAAGTGCTTTCTGGGTGTAGTTGACCCATAGGCCGCAAGTGTAAAAGGTCTGGCAGTAAGCTTTAAACAGAGCTACCTTTACGCTATCCGTACATCTTGCAAACCTACGGGCCAACATATTGCCCCGCACTGCCAGCGCCCTACGCTCTCTC